GAATGCTACTTGCGGTGGGAATGCTAGTTGACATATCAACGGCAGATTGTATCCCTGGAATGCGAAGTATCATACCCGCCTGGTGCATTTTCCCATTACGGTAGGGGGACCGCGGTTTGGCCATGCCGGCGGCCGAGTCGGCGTAGTATTTAGCCGACCAAGATACGAGCTCGACGATAAGCGCAGCAATAATGACGCTCACGTTACCCATCCAGTTCAAGAGGACGTGCAAAACAGCACCCAACACGCCAAGGTCCCTGCCGGGAGCCTGGATGGAGTGGCCGGCATGCCGGTGGCCAGCGTGGGAGTCTGGGTCGAAGGGGCATTCCGCCATGCGGTAGTCATAGTGCAGGCAGAGGAGGGAAGAGAGCGCAATTCCAAACGAGACTTCGGAATCGGGGCCAGCGTGGAAGTGAAGTTGACGCTGTTGTTATCGCCGTTGCTAATGCTGTTGTTTGTTCAGGCTGTGGTGATGTGTACCGTGATGATCTGATTATAGAAGCTTGGTTAGCCCTTGTCTCAGATGCACTTGGGTTACCGGATGTGCTGACCATGTAGGAATGCAGCTGTGATGATATTCGAGCTGAGAGCCAACGCCGCCCATGATAAGGACAAGCATAGGGTCTTCAATTTTCTTCAGCAAAATGAAGCGCTCAATAGACTAGAAAAGAATGCTGAATACTACGGCGCAGGCAGCAGAGATCCGTTGAAGAAGGCTCCGAGCACCCGAGCCCGCTGTCAGCCAAAGGAGAGATCCTGCCGGTGCTTGGGCGGCTTCGTGATCTTGAGGGACGGTCAGCGTATGTCTGTGCAACGCCGGTAGAAAAAGTAAGAAGATATGCAAGGATGGCAGCCAGCCTCATCTAGGTACCTGCTGTGCACTAATACTCCATGACCACGGTCTTGAGGCTGACGGCATTCCCACCAAGTTTCCTCTGTTCTCCACAGCCACCTGATGCCCACTGCGCATCTATGCGGATATCTTCACAATGAGGCAAGGAGCAATTGCTCACGATGTTCATATGTTTGCATTCTTTTCAGAGCCTCCATAAGACCGTCGATGAGCAGTACACGGCCATAACACTGCGCGCGAAGCAACTCGGTTCTGCAGCGAACAATGATCTAGACATAAAGAAGCTGATCGAAGTGCCGCTATCAACTCGCCTTTCCGAGCTGAAGGAACCGGCGGCAGATCAGCCTAGCTCGATAGGACTTGCTGATTTCGATTGTAATAACTTGGCTTCGTTGATTTCAGAGAAGTTGCAAAGCGAGCTCGACATTCCCACTCACGGGCCTCCTGAATCTCCCAGCGTCAGCGCATTTGCCCAATACTGGTAAGCCATTGGAGTCGGTTCGGTTGCTCCTATCTATAGAACCAAGTCAAATTTCGGAAAGCTCGGAAGCCGCTGTACTCGCAATTTTGCTGGCCGCGCAACACACTGCCTTTCAAGATGAGGCTGGATGTGAAAGGTACGTTGCCCTCCTTGTAGTGCCAGGGCTGTGTCACGCTCGGGCAAGCTGGCCACGAATCCCAAGATCCCGTCGGTGCACAATACAAACAGCAACCATCGGCGCCTGTCTTGCTCCCAGTCGACTCGACTCGAATCCTAAACCTTGTCAGCATTGTCTGCTAACATGGCCCTCCACCTGCAGCGCCAGCTTTTTCCTCGCTTTGAGGTCTGCATCCCTGTGCAGCTGCCAGAACCACTTGTCGTCGCCTTGCTCACAAGCCGCCCAACAGCGAGTCAAAGGCATTGACTTCCACCTGACCGAGCCATGAATACTGGGCACACCTTTGGATCTAGCCCCAGCCCTGCGCACCGTCTCTGACTCCATGTGAACAGCAACGCTCTACAGCGGTCATGTGTACATCTGGTCGTACGAGACACAGCAAATCGTCAAGACGTTTGAGCTCACCGATGTCCCGGCCCGCGCCGGCCGCTTCATTGCGCGCAAGAACTGCGTTGTCTGCGGGTCGGATGCTTTGTATGGAAGCCCGGGCTTTGGATGAGTACTGTTGGAGATAACCTTCGGACACAGCCAAATCCGGGTTTACAACTACAACACAAGCGAAAAGATCACACAGTACAAAGCCAATCCCGATTACATCCGCGCCATCGTTGTTCACCCGACACAACTCTCCGTCCTTATTGCCAGTAATGACATGACTATCAAGCTCTGGGACTGGGCGAAGGGGTGGAAGAACGCCAGGGTATTCGAGGGCAACTCGCGTAGGTTGGCAGCCACATTGATTGCTCTGCACGGACAGATGCTGACAGCACACCTAGACTACGTCATGTCTGTGACGATTAACCCCAGGGCACAAATACCTTCGCGTCTGCTTGCCTGAATAGGACCGGTGCGTCCCCCTCGATTCATTTTCGTATCTTCTAACACCTAAACAGTCAAGATCTGAAGCTTGGGTTCTTCCACTCTCAGGTTCCAATTGGAAGCACACGAAACGAAGGGCGGAAACCGTGTCGACTACTACCCTCACAGCGATAAACCATATATTCTTACCACCTCAGACGACGTAAGTATTCCTTTCGGGTCTGATACTCCATGATCACTGACGCCCATGACAGCGCACCGTAAAAGTGTGGGGTTACACCACCAAGAGCTTCATCGCGACCCTAGAAGGCCACACCAAATAATGTGTCTTTCGCCTGCTACCACCCGGAGCTGCCCATCATCATTTCAGGTTCCAAGGATGTACGTGTTCCCCGGGCCGGAGTCACCGCAGTTGATGCTGACATACCGCTTCGAGCAGTCCCTGAACGACGGGCTGGAGAGAGCATGGTGTGTGGCTTACCAGAAGGGCAAGCAGGGCATTGCGGTGGGCTTTGACGATGGCTTGGTAGTCAAGAAGTTCGGTCGTGAGTAGCCTGCCGTTTCGATGGGTGGCTTTGGCAAAATCATTTGGGCGCGGCACAACGAGGTTGTGTCGGCTGTCATCAAGGCGTGAGCCCATCAAGGCAACAAGCCGATCATGCTCACCAACAGAGCCTGATCCACTCCCCGAACGGCCGTTCTGCAGCCATCTGTGGGGATGGCGAGTACTTTTTTTTTTTTTTTTTTTTTTACACCGCCCTTGCTTGGCGCAACAAGGCGTTCGGTCAAGCGCTGGAATTTGTCTGCGTCCAAGGACAACTCGAACGATTTCGCCATCCGCGTGTTGGCAACTAACATCAAGGATTTCAAAAACTTCCAAGAGAAGAAGGGCAGGCTGGACATCCCCTTCGCGGCAGACGGACTTACAGGCGGCGTCTTGTTGGGTGTAAAGGGCCAAGTAGGTATTTCCTTCTATGACTGGCAGACAGGCGGTCCGCCGCATCGAGGTTGAGCCCAAGCAGGTCTACCGGAGTGAGAGAGGCGAGCTGGTGGCCTTGGCCTGCGAGGATACGACCTACGTGCTGAGGTTTTCAAGGGAGAGCTACAATGAGGCGGTGCAGAACGGCCAGGTCGACGATGACGGCGTCGAGGCTGCGTTTAGCGCTGTTACTGACATCAACGAGAGGCAAGTCTCAATCGGATCGGCCATCCGCGTCAATTCCGCTAAAATGGTCGTAGTATCCAATCCGTCGAATGGCTCGGTGACGTCCTGATCTACACCAACGGGACGAATAGGTTGAATCACCATGGTTGGTGATCAGACGTACACCGTCGCGCACTTTGACAAGCCCATGTACATCCTGGGCTACCTCCAGCGCGACAGCAAGGTGTATCTCATCAACAAGCACCTCTCCGTCACCTCGTTTGCGCTCTCCCTCCCTGTCCCGGAGTACCAGACGTTGGTCCTGCGTGGAGACATGGAGATGGCGGCCGAGCTCCTTTCCAGCATTCCCTACGACCAGCTCAAAAAAATTGCCCGCTTCCTCAAGGGCCAGAGACACAAGGAGCTCGCGCTCGAAGTCGCCACCGACCCGGAGCACGAGTTCGACCTCGCATTGGCGCTCAACCAGCCCGACATCGCCCGGAAAATGGCGCGGAAGGCCGATCCGGATCACAAATGGAAGACGCTAGGCGACGCCGGCCTCGCCACGTGGGATGTCCCCTTGCGACAGAGTGTTCTTGTCAACGCCAAGGACCCTCGGCTCCCTTTTGCTGGTCTACATTTCGTCCTGCGACCGCGCCGGTCTCGCCAAGCTGGCCGAGCAGGGCTCCGAGACGGGCGTCCTCAATGTTACGTTCACTACAAGCGGTCGCTGGGCGACGTCCCCGGCTGCATCGACGTGCTTGTCAAGACGAACCGGTTTGCCGAGGCGGTGCTGTTCTCGCAGACGTACCGGCCCAGCTTGACGGCGGAGCTGGTTGCGTAGTGGAAGAAAGACCTGGAGAAGAACAAGAAGGGGCGCGTCGCCAAGTCGCTGGGCATGCCTGGTGAGGATGAGGCGCTATTTCCCGAGTGGGATGAATGGCTGCTGTTGGAGAAGGAGGGGCCTGCTGTCGCGGGAGAGGCAAACGCTAAGGAAGCTGCTGATGAGGTTGAGGACGCGGAGGATGCGAAAGAGGAGGGTCAAGAAGAGGACGTGGGGTAGTTCTTGGGTCATCTGTGTCCTAGCGCATATGCGCGCTGAATTGGATGTGATTCTTCGGCGTAGGGCGGTTGCTGTGTTTGGTAGAGAGCAAAACGTAAAGGCTCGGTTTTGCCAGCAGAAATGATCATTATGTTCAGCATTCCTCTAGACAGGGACGGTAGATGGATAAGGATCAAGAAACTTGATGATTGTTGTTGGCGTTTGGTCTCATTCTCAAGTGTCTTCGGAGTTGCCTTACTGCGCTTCCGCGCTTCCGCGTATCCAACCACCACAGTGGTCTTGGCGATTGCACAAATGCATTTTGTGGGGCCTTTCCGTCATCTCGGCACGATCGGAGCTTGGAGCCGAAAGGCACTGGTTATCGGACCCCGAGAGCTCGATCTGGAGAAGTCTATTCGGCGAAGATGAACTCCAGAACAACATCTGGCTTCTTCTCACTGCTGTTCTTCCGCTGACGGCGCCGACCCATAGCTCTCCCTCTGCCATCCGCGCTACGAGTACTGCGGCTCTCCCCCCAACCAGAATTAGGCCCCGCGCTACCCAGCCACCGACAATGGCTGAAGCTCAGGCGCACAGGACCGTAAGCGTGGGCGGCCACGATATCGGGTACCCGCACGGCCATTTGGGGTATCTTACCCAGGAGGAGGAGAACTCCCTTGAGTCTTTCAAAGTTTTCTTACAGGAAAAGGGCCTGTACACGCGCGGTCCGCCGGCTTCGCACGACGACCAGACTCTGCTGTGAGCATATCTCCGTCGCGCACCGGCCACGATCCAGCCTCGCCAGAGTGCTAACGAGGTCTTCCTCTGCCCATCCATAGGCGCTTTTTGCGGGCACGGAGATGGATCGTCAAAGACGCCTACGGGCAGTTCAAGGACACCGAGGAATGGCGGCAAGCAAACCAGCTCGAGGTCCTCTACGACACAATTGATGTGGATGCATATGAGCAGACTAGGCGCTTGGTGCGGAACCTGCCACGTACTCAGTCCTTGCGGTCCTTGGGCTGACACGATATGGCCGCAGTATCCTCAATGGACAGGGAGGAGAGACAGGAGGTACGCCACTGTGCTCTGCTTTACCCTTCTCTTGCCGCCCGCTGACTTTCCCTCCAAACAGAGGCATCCCGCTCTACCTATTCCAGATCAGACACCTCGACTCTAAAACCGTCTCGACGTACGAGAAGTCCGCCGAGTCCACCAACGCGAGCAAAGCGCAAACCGACGGCTCAACCCCGCAACGCCTCCTCCGCCTCTTTGCCCTCTACGAGAACCTCACCCGCTTCGCGCAGCCGCTCTGCACCGAGATGATGGATCGCGAGCACCCGCGCACGCCCATCACGCTCAGCACCAACATCGTTGACGTCTCGCAAGTCTCGCTGCGCATGTTCTGGAACCTCAAGGCGCACATGCAGGCCGCGTCGACGCTCGCCACGGCGCACTACCCGGAGACGCTCGACCGCATCTTCATCATTGGCGCTCCCTACTTCTTCAGCACTGTCTGGGGCTGGATCAAGCGCTGGTTCGACCCCATCACTGTGTCCAAGATTTTTATTCTCAGCGCGAGCGAAGTCAAGACGACGCTCGAGGAGTTTATCGAGCCGAGGAATATCCCCAAGCTGTACGGCGGCGAGCTGGAGTTTGAGTTTTTTGATCGGCCTAATTTGGATCCCCAGATCAAGGAGGTTTTGATCTGGGAGAATGGGTATACGGATTTTCCCGAGGGCCCGGCATACTGGGTGCCGGTTGATGGCGGGAAGAGGTTGGCTTGCATCGCGGTGGGGAGCAAGGGTGGGAAGGAGCGGCGGGAGACGGTATGCACGATCCCGGTGGCGTTTCCGAAGGAGGGAGTGACTGCGCCAACGGAGACGGCTGTGTCCGCGCCCGCGCCCGCGGCGGATGCTACTGTCCAGGATGCTGTCGAGGGTGTGGAAAAGCTGTCCATTGCCAACAAGGTCGCCAACGAGATGGAAGAGAAAGTGGCCGTGAAGGCTCAGGAACCGCAGGCTGCGACGACCGCTACTTGAGCGGAGAGGCGAGGCCGGCGACGGTCGGATAATGCTTTGCATAGAAGGGCACATTGTATTTGGCGCAACTTATATGCCTCCAGGTTGTTCTCTTTGGTTAGAATTCGAGGCAATCTCGAAAACCGGCTTACAGCTGTAACATCATGGAAGCGGTCGAATCTCGTCGAGTTGTTATCGCCGGGAAGGTATTATGATTACCTCGCGAGGTAGTCTCGATATGATCCATCTTCAATGCAATCATGTCCCGAATCTGTCGTTTCCTTGTGTTACTTCAAAGCCCATCATGATACGCCCGTCCCAAGCCGGTCTCACAACGCCAAACACCTCGCCAGATCTACATTCCGTCTATACCAATCAACAAACCCAACCGCAACACAATTCAATATCATCCCCTTCCCAAACCCTCATTCTATCCCCTGATTTGCCCTCCACTGCATTATCCCCTTCTCCAGCTCCTCCCAGGTCAAGCCGTCCCGGATCAGCCTCATGGTCACCCCCAAGCTCTCCACCTCAAGATTCGGCCTCTCGTCGTCAAAAAACAGCATCTGACTGAACGGAATCCCCGTCCGCTTGGAAATAGCCTCAAAGTGCCTCAGCTTGGTTCCCTCGTAGATCTCCAACCCGGCATCGAACGCGTCAATCGTCCGTTTGGGCCCCTTCTCGCTGCCCCCCTCGCCCGGCGGCAGTCGCAGTAGCTTGAGCACCTCCCTGCAAAGGTCGCCAACGGGCGACTTGCTCGCCACGGCCAGGCGCGTGTTGGGGAGCGACGAGACAAGGCGCAGGATGTGCGGGGCGTCCGCGTAGAGGGCAAAGTGCTCGCCGTTGCGGTCGGTGAGGGTGGGTGGGGACGAGTTTGGGACGAGGCGGATCGGGGTCGAGATGTGGATGTCGGAGTAGAAGGGCCAGAGGGTGTAGTCGAGGTCGAGGACTATCAGTCGCGGGAGGGGGAGGCCGTCGTGGAGCCAGGAGGGGGATGGCGTGGGGTTGGACGACATGGACGAGAAGCCGTCTGGAGCGGGCTTGGCTAGTTTCTTGCTCCTGGCCATGGGGGAATTCGAGAGGCCGACCGCGGGATAGGGCTTGGTGGGAAGGGATATTTGGTGGAGAAAACTAAGTAACCTGGAGGTTGAAGTGTACACAGTAGAGACATCCTTTGAATTACGAGTCGAGGCCAATTCGAAACCCCAGGATGAGAACGAACTGGATCATGGCTGGGTTAGGGTTAACTGTGGAGCCGGGATGCATCCCCGGTTTAGCCAGGATCTCGGTACTGCCCCATGAAAGTTGCAGTCCCGATGACGGATTGCCGCAAGGCTTTCCGTCTTGTGTCTCCGGAGTCCGCCTCGACACAGCTGCGGGTCGACCGACTCACTTCAACGAAGTACTCCTTCGGCGGTGAATGCAATGTCAAGATCCGCAATAAGGTATCGATCGATGGGCTGATCACGATGCTTCCCTTGAAATTACCCGGAGACCGTTGTGAACGGGCCGTCACTTCCTGCGCCAACTGCCGTTGCACCATCAGAGAGCGCAAGACGTACTGGAAGTTGAAATTGCCGGTTCTTCCTTACCCGTCGCGTTTCCCCACCGGATGCCCCGCGTGCCACCTGCTCCTGGGCTGACCTCAGATGGGGACGGACCCCAAATATATTCCCCGTCGCCCGCTCTGAAGGAATATCTTCTCGGACGAGAACTGCTGTTTCAACACGTCTGTGATTTGACCTGTTAAGAATAGACACTGCGACTTGTATCATCTAACCTCCAGAGGAAACACCCAGTGACTTCACACCGATACCTCGACAGACAATACCATGGCGTCCGGACTACCGTCGACTTCGCTGAAGAAGATCCGACTCGTGCGCATTGCTCATGTATGGTACAAGCACGAGAACATCGAGGCCGCGAAGCAGTTCGCCCTCGACTTTGGCTTCGTGGAAACGGCCCAAGTCGGCAAGACAACCTTCTACCGCGGTTATGGCACCGAACCCTTCGCTCTAGCACTCGAGGCATCAGACCAGAACGAGTTTGGCGGTGCGGCATTCGTCGTTGAGTCGGAGGAGGATCTGGTGCACGCGTCCAAGGTATTGCCCAAAGAGTGCAGGGCAACCGAGGTACACGAGATGAAGGACGTCCCGGGCGGCGGAAAGCGAGTCACCTTTTACGACCCCGTCGACAGCTTCCCCTTCCACCTCGTACACGGCCAGACGCCAGTTGCCTTGGAGGACCCTGGGTTTCCCATAGTCAAGTTTAACTTTGTCAGCTGCCATCCCCCGGCCACTATCCGAGTGGGCGAAGAGACTGACTATCCGCAGCCCGTTGAGAAGCACCGCGGCCCCAACGAATTTCAGCGCTTCAAGAAGCGGCCTGCGCCAGTTCACAAGCTCGGCCACTTCGGCATGTGCGTGACCGACTTTGCCAAATGCTATGAGTTCTACTCGACTTACTTCAACTTCCACCCGAGCGAGGCAAGTCCTCCAGCAGCCGCTCACGCCACTCCCCTCTCATGGTACTGACATTGAACACTCTCAGCTCGTCCACAATGACCAGGGCGTCGACAAAACCGTCTTCTTCCGCCTCGACCGTGGCGACGAGCTCGTCGACCACCACTGTTTCTTCTTCTTCGAAGGTCCCAAGATGCACGTCCATCACTCGTCCTTCGAGACGCACGACTTTGACGCCCAGGTGCTCGGCCACGACTGGCTGCGCCACAAGGGATACACCAACTGCTGGGGTGTCGGGCGGCATGTCATGGGCAGTCAAATTTTTGACTACTGGTATGGTGTTCCATGTACTTTGGGTAAGATTGGCCGGAGAGCTGTGCTGACGTGTTTGTTCAGGTTTGACCCGTCTGGCTTCATCATGGAGCACTATGTGGACGGCGACCTACTCGATATGAAGGAGCCGACTCACCATACAAAGGCGGCGCCGGATAATCTGCATGTTTGGGGTAGGTGGTTCTGGTCTCGTTGGGGTGATCCTGAGCTAATCATGAGATCTCTCGTAGGTCCCGAGGTGCCGGCAACTTTCTTGCAATAATTGGATTGGGTCTGCGAAAAGAGCGCAACTATCACCGAGTCAAGGGTGAATGGATGCCTTGTGGTGAGCAAGGTGGCCGCAACGTTCTTGGCTGAACGATGTTATGATTAGATATGCCATGAAAATGCCACCTTTTCAGAGGGATATCAACTATGAGATCGTAGTTCGAAGGATGGAGGTTGGCGCGTGCATGGAGAGGGTCTGGATGTATTACTATTGCCTTCAGTTATGCTTAGCGATTGCAGAGCGTGCTGGAGATGGAAGTTTGGGGTAGCCTCTGTTGCACCGGCTCCTTAAGAGTTCATGGGTGACGGTCGAGCTTATCAGATGTACCGCCTCCGTTGGTGATGCTGGTGGACGAATGGGACACTTCAGCTTTGTTCTTTGCCATTGTCGTGAACGATTTCGCCCGGGGGCTTGGACAAACACCGTCTGTTAGTGTACATCAAATTTCGCACGTAGAAGTCATCCTCTCGGTTGATCAAGGTAACCTCCAAATAGGAGTTTCAGAGTCATCCCGCGACCATGTAATCATTCCGGCCCCTTCCACCCATCCCCGACCCCCCTCATCCACTGCACGCCAACCAGCCGCAAACCATGCCTCTGCACGAACTCCTCAGCCCTAAAACTCCTCCTCTCGACAAATTCCTCGCCGCCCACGTCGCTCTTCTCAAGCTTCAGCCTCTGTTCGGGCTCAGCAAACAGCAGAAACAGGTACCGATGCGGCCCTGATTCGTCCTTGGGGCCCGGCGGGAGGTACTGGGTCAGTGTCCTCCCGGTGTCCACCATGCTCGCCGCCTTCGTTTGTTCTTCGGACTGCTTGGAGGTAGTTGGAGATGAAAAAGGAATGTTTGTCACAACCCAATGCCGCCAGTAGCCGAACTTGGGGTCGTCGGGCGTCGGCGCGTCCGGGTCGATCAGCATGAAGGTGAAACTTTGCTCGGGGGTTTCAGTTGTTGTTGTTGTGGGGGAGATGGCTGAGATGGAAATGGAGGGTGTCTGTTTTACTTCGCTGACGCGCACGAGCGTGCCGTTGGAGATGGCCTTGGTGGGGAAGTGGACGTTGAGGTGGAAGGTCGGGGTGAAGTCTGCTGGGATGACTTTGGAGGGGACCAGGTTCGCGTCCTTGAGCGAATCGAGGATGTTTTGGGCCATCGCGGTGACAATGAAAAGGGCTCTTAAGTTTCGACGTGATGTCTCGATTTCGGAAAGATTGCAAACGATTTCACGAAGTGGTGTAGATGTTGCAGTGCTCTTTAGTGTATTTGTACACTCGCATGGTATTATTATGATTGGTGGAATTTCCGTTTCATTGGTGGAGATGATGGCATCTTGGCTCGGGTCTTTCGGTGATGAGTTGCCGTGGATGAGTTTCTCACATCACATTCACAGGTCGACGGTGTTGTTGAATTTGGCACGCTCCCGGTCATGCATCCCGCCTTGCATGGTACCAGTCCCGGTTCTCTGAGCCTCTGCCGATGGCCGTGGAACACGGTTGAGCAATCCAGGCTTTGGCGGCTGTCCCTCGGACAACCCCACTTGCTGCCGGCCGGTACAGTATGGCACCGTATCATGCTTCGGCAACTGGCAAACTTTGCGGATGACCTCTACCCAGTACGATCCCCAACCGCCCAAGCTGCATTATTGCGGGCAACCTTCTTAAGTAGTGCTGTTTTCCTTCACACTACTTGCCTTACCTGACATTTGTGTTTGGACAGCGCCGTCCTTCACTCATTGAATGTTCCTGGTTGGTCCCTTTTCCACGCGATCAGGTATTGCATTCTAAGCTTGGATAACGCTCTCCGTCACGATTTCCTTATTATCCCCCGGGGTCTCGAAATCACCGTGTTGGGCCCATCCCAGCCGAACTGTTTGCCTGTTCACATTAGAATGTCCGAAACAATGGAAGCTTCGACCGAGTGGATAGCAAGAGGGAGGGGGTAGTCTCGAGCCTTGACACCATCGCCATCGCATTTGTCTCGGACTGTGAAGGTTTCACAGGCTGGACCACCTATAAAGGAACGGCGTGCTGTGAGAGAGGAGCCGTCATGTTCGTTCACCACGGCTTCGTTGCCTTCAACCCACTACAGCCATGCTAAAGTCACCTCGTACATTATTTGGTTACCTGCGTGTCTTTGGAACGGGTTTTACGGTAAGTGTTGAGCTTTGGAATCTCGAGCAACTTCCATCCGTGCTGACAGAGCGAGTAACATCTTCATTCCCGTTTGGTTCATTACTCAGCCTACAGTAACAGTACTCACACTATGTCTCGCGACGACCTTTACGGCAGCGATGTCATGTTCCGGCAGCTCTCCGAACTCGGCATCCGTTACTTCGCTCTTGTCCCCGGCTCCACCTTCCGCGGTCTCCACGACAGCATCGTCAACTTCAGCTTGGACGGTGACAGGACCAGGCCCGAAATTATCCTCTGCTTGCACGAGGAGCACTCGGTAGCCATTGCCCATGGGTACGCAAAAGTGGCTGAGAGCCCAATGGCGGCGGTCGTTCACGACGCCGTGGGCCTCATGCATGCAACCATGGCCATTTACAATGCCCATTGCGACCGCATGCCGGTGCTTGTAGTGGGCGGAACTGGCCCGCTCGACGCGAACCGTCGCCGCCCATGGATCGATTGGATACATACCACAGGAGACGAAGCCGCCCTCATTCGACCCTTTGTCAAGTTCGACGACCGGCCAGGCTCGGTACAGGCGGCGTTGCAGAGTCTTATTTCGGCCACCATCGCAGCCGATCGAATCCCCAAAGGCCCGGCCTATGTCTGTCTCGACTCACCGTTGCAGGAAGAGAAAATAACGTTACAGGGACCTGGAGCCGTCAAGCTTCCGGACACCCGGCGGTACTTGAGAGCGACACGGGCGCTTCCCCGCCCGTCACACCGGGACTTATCCGTGATCCTGTTAGCTATTCACGTGGCTAAGAGACCACTTTTCCTCTTCGGCCGCGTCGACCGCGCCAAGTCGAGCTGGAACAACAGGGTCAAGCTGGCTGAGCGGTACAATGCCCGTGTCTTGACCGACCTCAGAGTGGCCGCCGCCTTCCCAACCCAGCACCGCCTGCACGCAGCCCCACCAGCGGAGTTTCTCACCCCACAGCAAGTCGAGGTGATCCGATCTTCCACTCTTATCGTCTCGTTTGACTGGGTTGATCTGGCTGGAACTTTGAAGACGGCCTTTTACGAAGATGGGCTCGGTGAAGCGCCCGAGGAAGGGGTACGCGTGGTGCACATCTCGCTCGACGACCCAGCCATCCACGACGGATGGACCAAGACGCACTTCGCCTGGCCACCCCTCGACATTGCCGTGTCAGCTGACGTGGACGAAACCGTAAGCGCCTTGCTAGATACACCGCACGAGACACCAGCCCGGTCAGATTCTCCCTCCTTCGGCCCCCTGTCAGCCAGCATTACCACCACTACTCTTCCTGCTCAACAGCCCAGCGACATGAACCCCAGCAAAATCTTCATCAGCGACATCGCCCACACCCTCTACAAGGCAATTTCACCGGACGACGTGTCCATCTTGCGCGTCCCCATAAGCTTCAAAGGCGGCGATCTCCTTGCAACCCACCCCCTGTCCTACCTAGGCCGCGACGGTGGCGAGGGCGTCGGCTCGGGGCCAGGGAACGCCGTGGGATCGGCCCTCGCGATGAAAGACTCCAACTATGGCCTAGTTCCCGTCGCAATTCTCGGCGACGGCGATTTCCTGATGGGCTCTTCGGCCCTCTGGACAGCGGTGCACCACAAGATTCCACTGCTGATTATCGTCGCGAATAACAAGGCTTACTATAATGACACACGGCATCAGGCTGAGGTTGCGCGGCAGCGGGGGAGGCTCGTGGAGAATGCTGGTATGAGCACGACAATTGACAATCCAGCGCCTGATGTGACCCAGCTGGCGGCGTCGTTGGGCGCGGTAACGGTGGGGGATGGGTTGGTTGAGAAAAAGGAGGAGTTGGAAGGAGTGTTCCAGAGAGCGGTAGCGGCGGTTCGCGACGGAAACGTAGTGGTGGTTGATGTTTTCGTCGAGGAAGGTCAGCCGTGAAAGTGACGAAGGACTGGATGGGTTGTTGAGTAGACACCCAACTCTAAGGTCAGGTCGGATGATTGCTTCTTTCTTTCCCATATTTTTTTCTTTTCTGAGATGCACTTCATTAAACGCACTCGAAGCAACGACTTCTACCGCACTGTTTCGAATCCACCGAATTCCCGGATTGACGGCCACATAGCAGGTCCTACACTGTCTCAGCTTTTACGCCAGAAGATTCGAGAGACTGAGTGTATTACGTTAACGTATATTATCAGCGAGTGAGCCATATCAGCGAGTGAGGCACTTCCGACTACCTAATAACAACACTCCTCGATTACAAGACAACAACACTATTATTAACTACAATTGCATCAGAAATAGCTGAATCAGAGCCTTCTGCAGCCTCCTGGCACGTACGGACATTATGACCGGGCTTCACACACACACCACAGCACCACACCTTCGTACGACCTGACCCTACACCACAACTATCCTGCTCCATTTCTTGCGCCGCCTCCCAACCACCGCCTTCTGATCCAGTTGATCCTTTGCATCTTGTACTGCAAGTGATCCCCCAAGCTGTACGCGTGTTCTTTTGGGCTCTCCGGCGCTTGCTTAATGCCTCGTTGGCCTTACAGAGCGAAGAGACATCCGACCGAAGAAGTGACACCCCGTGCATCACAGCCATTGTATCCTTAGCAGGCTGGTCCATAGCAGCCAACATTACGTTGGGGAGTTATTCTGATGATTTGCAATACGAGTCTTGATGAGCGTTAATTACGAATCGACTTCTCAAGGGTTGTGTAGCGTCTGGAATACCCAAGGTTGTAGAGTGCCGCACGCGAGTTCAGGGGTATTAGCGTACGAAGCTTCACATCTAGCTTGGAAAGCACCGTCTCTGGATTGTACGGCACAAGGCCAGCCCCTGCAAAGCCACCCTGGATGTTCCTCCCTGTCATAGAGGCACAGCAGGCCTCGCGGAACGCACAGAGGAAATCGAGCTTTCTCACGTGGTTGATATGTATGCGCATCGAGTCCTGAATTGGCAACCGTACTGTCACAAATGAACCAACGAGAGCCAACAGCGGCGGCTTACTTGCAGAAGCCAGTGGGGAACGTAGGACGTTCCGAGCCAATCACTTAGGATCAATCGGAACGAGTCCTAGAGGTGCTCCAGAGAGCTCTCAGGAGCATGAGAGAGCACCAGTGCAAGGCCAATCAGAGGACGCTCTAAGAGGCTCTCGAGAGCACCATAGAGCATTGGCTCTAGATGGCTCTAGAGAGCACGAGAGAGCAACCAAATGCATCTAGTATATAGTCACCCGTTCTGGAGAACTCTGGGAGTTCTCCAGTAAGCAACTCAAGTGCAAGATTGTCAGTACCCTTGGACATTGCTTGTTGTGAACCCTTTGGCTTCACCGAACCTCACCCCGTTGTCAAAGCTATAACCTTCTGGAGTCCCTTTCAGAAGTTGGGGCTTGAGATTCGTCACATATACGTCTGCCCAGTCTAGTATAAACGCGAGCTGTTCAACGAGCCCTGGCCCAGTACCGGGTCGCTTCCTAGCGGAGTCGTACAATACTTATACTCCTATACCAGAACTGGGGCCTAAACCCAGACCCAGAGCTGTAGCCGTCGTAGTACTCTATGTGCTGGTGTGACGAATCTCAAAGTCCCAACTTCTGAAAGGGACTCCTGAAGGTTATAGCTTTGACAACGGGGTGAGGTTCGGTGAAGCCAAAGGGTTCACAACAAGCAATGTCCAAAGGTACTGACAATCTTGCACTT